AGAAACTTATCGCAAAATGAGTAGATATGAAGAATCACTTGCAGATTTAAATAAATCATTAGAAATTGAACCAAATAATGCATTTGCATTAGGAAGTCGTGGAGAAACTTATCGCAAAATGAGTAGATATGAAGAATCACTTGCAGATTTAAATAAATCATTAGAAATTGAACCAAATATTTAACTGTATACAGTACAATTCGATTAATAAATTAAAATACTGTAACAGTACAGTAAATGGAAGATCGGATGGGTTTTAAGGTGGAGAGATGGATTTGATGTGATAATTATACGAGCTTTATATTAGTTTTATTTGATTTTTAATGGTCGTTTTAATATATGTGTCATTTAGTTGACTTGTAACTTGATGTAATAATAATGTTAATCAAATAGTAATTTGGGATTTCAAATTTGGGCTCAATTCTAAAATCTTACTTAATGTCTAATACGTCTGCATTATTTATTTCGATCTCTGTTAATTTATCTGTGAGTGATTCTGGATATCTACCTAACATGTGATAGGTTTCTTAATGCATCATTTGATTCAATTATATGATTTATTTATGATAAATGTAAAAACGATTCTTCCTATCTACCCATAATATGGTGAATTGCATCACGGCTTTTTAATGCAAATACATTATTTGGATTGATTTCTAATAATTTATTTATGATAAATCTTCGGGTCTTTTATAACACTTAAATAAGTATTTCCGCTATTTTTTGATGCTCTAACCGAGAAGCCAACTCTTTTGATAACTCTTCTATTTGCTCTTGTACAATTTTCATTTTAGCATTAACAGCCGCTTCTTGCTCATCGCCTTCTTTTTTTTTTTTAGCTTTATCAAGCATTTTTTGTAACGTTTTTCCTCCATTTCCAGTTTTTTTAATTCTTTTTTTGTCTTCTGATAATTTTGTTCATTTTCTAATGACTTATTTAAATCTGCAAGTGATTCTTAATATTTGTTCATCAAACTATAAGCTAAATTACGCACTTTTAATGCAAATGCATTATTTGGTTCAATTTCTAATGATTTATTTAAATCTGCAAGTGATTCTTCATATCTACTCATT